CTGCCTGCCATGCACACAGCTCCCAGGAACATGCCTTTCCTCCAGAGGATGCCTGCCACGCACGCAACTCCCGAGCACTGGTCCCTTCTCCAGAGGACGCCTGCCATGCAGAAGACACCTGCCACACATGCAGCTCCCAGGCGTGCAGCCGTTCTCCAGAGGACGCCTGCCACGTGCTCCGCTCCCGGGTGCGGCTGTGCTGTGAGGAAGTGCGCACTGAAGCACTCACGGGCAGAGACCGCCTCCACACCGGTTCTCTCTTGCGTGAGGGCGAGAAAGTGCAGACACCACCTCAGGAAGACAGGAGAGCCACGGGGCCACCTGGGACCACTCACCCTGAGACACGGCTTCCTCCTGCCCCCGGCTCTCGGAGCACTCGGGGAGAAGCGGTGGCTGCTGTGACAAGCCTGAGACCCCCGCAGCCGCTCACTGGGGCACCAGGCTGTGGCCCAGGTCCACGGCGGGCTCTCCCCTTTGAGTTTCTCCTGCGGAGGCAGGACCTGCTTCCAGTAATTCCCTGTGTTTGCAGGTGGGGAGGAGGGGCTTGATGTGGGCGTGGGGACCCTGGCGCAAGGGGCCTGGAGGAGGTTGTGGCTTGGAGGGAGAGCTGGTGGCACCCCTCCTTGATGCCGACGCCATGTTAGCCGGTACTTTCAGGGACCCTGCAGAGGGGCTGGGGGTCTGTCCTGAGCCACTGCGCAGGTGTGGGGGCTGTCACTGCAGGGTTGGTGGCAGGCCTATGGGGCCACGTGAGAGAAACGGGGAATCCACAGAGTGTTTCCTTCTGCCGCATAAGACCCTCAGACACGTCGAGTGTCCAGACGGCAGCTTTGGGGAAGCGTGTTCCGGGACCCGTAGGCTTCCTGAGAGGAGCCACTGCATGACGCCACGAGGCTGGACCGCTGCCAACAGGCCCCGAAAGTTCTGGCATCTTGAGCAGCACGGGAGGGTGGCATGGCCAGTGCGGGTCCCCGGCCCCCTTCGGGTCTGCTGCGTTGTTGGCCTGTCTGTGCCATTTTTTTTTTTTTTTAGAATTAATTTTGGGCTGAAAAGCCTCAAAGAAGGCTTTGTTCCTTTGACACTTGCTCTGGAAGAAAAAAAAAAATCCGTGGAAAATCTGACATCTGCAACGTAGAGAGAAATCAATAGATGGGAGGAATGTAATTATCTTCCGCTCCTGAAAGAATTTTTCAGATTTTTAAGTGTCTCATATCAGCTTAGAATTTGAATGACATTTTAATTATTTTGTTTTTTTCTTCTTTTCCTGGTTTGAGTCTCCTTAGAGTTCCACTCCCGGATCCTGCAGGGAGCATGGCTGGTGCTCACGAGGTGGGGAGGGGGGCGCGGGGGGTGGTGACGGCCGTGCCCTGCCCAGTGGAGCCCTGCATTTCATCAGGAGCCACAGCTCCCCGGGCGTGGATGGGGCCTCGAGGAGTGGGCCTGGGCCGTCCAGCCGGCTGGATGCCCTGGGCTGTTTTCACGCAAACGTAGGCTGCAGGGCCGGAGCCCACACAGAACAATCTCTGGTGCTCTAGTGATTTGAGCAAACCCAGCTTCCAGGAGACCTGACTCTTGGTTTTTACAGCAGTTCACCCTTCAGGTCTTTAAATAGCAGCACTCCTGGGTGCTCAGAACCCTCCCTGCCATTGGGGGCACAGGGCATGTGAGGGCCGGGGCACATGGCGAGACCCTAGAGACGGCGATGCTGGACCCGGCCGTGGCCCCACCAGAGGCAGCCTTCGCAGTGCGCGGGTGGCGGGGCCTCACAGCCCCGCCGAGGCGCGTCCGGTGTGGCTCACGTAAGGAGCAGGTGCCTGTTGCTTGGTGTTCCCGCAGGGCCTGGCTGGGCTTTTCCTCACACTCCCCTGCCGTTTCTCCTGTGTGCCCTCTGGGCGGCAGTCACTGCACCCACGTGCTATTCTCTAGGGCACGGTGCAGCCTCTGCCGGCCTTCCCACTCCCTGCCAGTCCCGTGGGTCCCTCATTCCAAACACGCCGGAATTGGACACGCCCCTACCCTGCCCAGGTCGTCCTGCACAGACAGTGGCAGAACCTGTTGCCTCCTCAGCCACATGTAACCAGAGGACCCAGCTCAGAGCCCACAGCCCCCCAAAGGCCCTCCCGGGTGTGGTCGGCTCTGTCAGCCTGGCTGGACTGGAGTCCTTGGTCCGTCCCGGAACGCAGGCCTCCATGCTGCTGGGAGGTGTTAATGTTTTAGAGACGTGGCTCCAGTCCGTGATGGGCTGACTTGGGGAGGAGCTGATACTGGGGGCCTGAGGCTGACCCAACCGGGCAGGAGACTGAGACCGGAGCTGGGGCTCCCTGGAGAGGAGGAAAGTCCATCCCCACAGCAGCTCTGGCCACTGCTCTGGAGGTCCTGATGGCCCCCACAGGCCTCAGTTTGTACCCCGTGCTATTGGGACCAAGGCTGTGGCAGATGGGAACCTGCATTCCCGGGGGCTCCTGGGCCCCCCTGCTGTGGCCTCATCCACCCTACTGTGCCCCACGTTCCTGCCTGAAGAGGGCATCCACACCCTCCTCTTCCTTCCCTCGCTGCCATCCCTGCCCCCGCCCCGCGGGGCTCCCTGCCCAGGTCAGCCTGTCAGCTCTGTCCAGGCACAGGCCGGGCCCCTGTGGGGAACAGATGCCCTGTGTTCCCCAAATTCAGTTTCACGTGCAAATCCTGACCCCAGTGCCACGGTACCAGGAGGCAGGCCCGGTACCCCAACACGTCCATGGAGGAGAGCCCTCACTGATGGGAAGAGGCTGCTAAAAAAGTGTCCCCAGAGAGACCTCCTCACCCTCTTCCCACCGTGTGGGCAACAGTGAGAAGGCGCCACCTGCGGCCCAACACGGCTGCACCCGAGCCCGCCATGCCACGCCCACCACAGCGTGTGCCCCAGCCCTGTGGGATAAGTCCCTGTTGCTTCTGTGCCACACCGCCTCTGCATGCCTGGTGGCTTCCTGCCTCTCTGCACCCGCGGCACGCGGCCTCTGGTGGGTGGAGTGGGACCACACCGTGCTGGGCAGACGGTCGGATGGACCGGGGACAGATGGGTGGAGGACAGGGACAGAGGCCACGGGATTCCACTGGGAGAAGCTGTGGCAGCAGAAACCCTGTCACAGAGGAGGCGGTGCTTACTTATGCATCTGTGCACTGTCCCCTCTGATGCAGCCAGTGTGTCTCCCACGGGCGGGAGGACTGGCAATCTCTTTCTGACTTGGAATCATCTGAAGCCGTCAGTGCCCCCAGGAAAGCGGAGGGTGTGGGGGCCGACCCCTCCCCGGACACTTTGCTGTGGCCAGGTGCTGAAGAGCCCCCACCCCACAGCCTCTGTGCCCACGTCCCATCTTCCCCAGTGCTGACAGCTCCAGAGGCCCCCGGCAGCCTCTCCCGTGCCCACGCGTCCTCACAGCTGACGAGTTGCGGCTCACGAGGTCACCTTGGGGCCTGGGCCTGGGCTCCCTTTGTGCCGCAGGGGGCACTGCTGAGACGCAAGTTCACTGAGCCCTCCCCCCTGACTTTGGGCTCACCCTGGAGCACCGAGAAGCTTCCCTCCAACGTTGACCGTGGGGTCTGTGCAGGGTGTGACGAATCTGTCGTTTTTGAAGACACGAGACCTCTTTAGCGTGATGACACGTGAGCTCCAAGAATTAGTGTTGGGGAAGGTGCAGTGGGCGCTGACTCTAAAAAGGAAGCCGCTGTGGCTCACATGCGCGGTTGTGCACTTCACTCCTGTTCATCCAAACAGGCCCCAGCCTGCTCTTCCCAAATCCCCCTTCCCTAGTGCTTCACGGTAAGGTCCCCTCCTCACAGCACCTGCAGTCCATGCCCACAGCCTTCATGGACATTTCGACTTCCTGGGATGGTGTTCCAGTCGGGGGCGCCGCGCCCCCACCCCATGACTGTCCTGGGGAGGTCCTCCCGTCGGGGCCACCGCGCCCCCACCCCGTGACTGTCCTGGGAAGTGGTTCCCGTCGGGGCCGCCGCGCCCCCACCCCGTGACTGTCCTGG